TCATGGAAGTGAAATCTATTAATTGGACATATAATATTAAACGTTAATTGAGACTGGACGAGAGTAATTTAGTCAAGTTAACGTAGATTGATTGAATTATCAAGAGTTAACTGCACAAATTAATAATTAATATAAAATATTAATAGTTGTAATGATATGACTAGGGAATACCGGAAAGGAAAGTGAAAGTATATTACAATAATTCAACCACTATAAACTAAATTAAATCGATTACGAAATTAAAACTTAAGTATACCTAAGATTCAAGTAAAATTTAAATAATTCTAGTTTTGATTTTTAATAATAGTAGGATTTTCTATAATTAGTACTTCATACACAATACTTATGGGACGATATTTTTCTTATTACTGTATTACTTGAACGATTTTGTGCACTTGTGAATTCACTTACGAGAGAATTCAAGAGAGAAAAGAGAAACATATAATAGAAAATATTCGAGAATAATTCAAAATTATAGTCAAGTATCCTTTACTTAATCATTCTAGTTAGTAAAGTTATGATTAGTTATTCTCCTATTTATTAAGAACACATATGTTAGTTGTGTAGTCGCCATGTGATAGAATTTATGGACTATTTTTAATTGATTTTATTTCTATATAAGCCTATAAATAGGCACTTTCCTTTGTTGATTAATAACAAGTCAATTTGTTTCCTTATTAATTCTAAATTTTTATGTGATTTATTGTTTTATTAAAAGTATTTATTTGTTGGTCTGTTCTTATTTTCCTACATAATTGGTGTTAGAGCCAAGTTCACTGCTCACTAGATGTTCGACAAAAGTTGTGTAGGAAAGCTTCCATGGTAGTAAATAGGAGTAGTGTGAATGTTACCCAGCCCCTCAATCCCAAATTCAAAGGAGACTCTTATAGGTTTTAGAGCATTATAAATGATGATGTTGTTTAAGTTTAAAGACTTTGGGGCCTTGTGGAGAATAGATATGCTGACCTAGATGAGGAGAATCAGTTGAGGGAAAATAGGAAAAAAACTTTAAGGCATTATTTTTCATCCAACAAGTTATTCATCAAATGATTTTTTTGAGGATTTCAACCATACTACAGCAAAAAGAGCCTACGAAACATTAAAAAAAGACTTTCAAGTCTCAACAAAGGTAATTACATTGAAACTTTAATCTCTACACCGTAATTTTAAAACCTTGTTTATGAAAAGCAATAAGACTATGTAAGATTTTTTGTATAGAGTAATAGACATTGTGAGATAAATGAGATCCTATAGGGAGAAACTTCATGATCAAATTGTTGGTGAAAAAGTTTTAAAGAGTTTGACTCATAAATTTGATCATGTAGCTGCTGCCACTAAGGAATCAGAGGATCTTTATATTTTTTCATTCGATCAATTAATTTGTTCTCACATGAGGCAAAATTGAGTAGATCACTTAAAAAAACTAAAGAGAAGACATTTTAAGTGAAAAGCAACATAACTTCACATGATAATAAGTTGAGAAAAACAACCAATATAGGTGGATATCGTGGTTGAGGTCATTGTAGAGGAATAAGCAATGGTAAAAATTGGCAAGCTAATTGTGAGCAATCTTTAAATGATCAAAAAAGTTATAACAAAAGTGGTATTCAATGCCACTATTGTAATAAGTTTGGGCATACAAAGGCCGAATGCTGAAAATGAGAAAAATAAGTAAGTTATTCTACAGAGACAAAGAAGCAAAGGTGTTGTTCATGGCCTATGAAGTTAAACATGCTGATTCCAATGCAAATGAAGTCTGGAATCTAGACACTGGTTACTCAAGTCATATGTCGTGCCTGAAATCAGTATTCAGTGAGTTTGATGAGTCTCAAAAGACAAAAGTAAGGCTTGGAGACAATAAACCACTTTAAGCTGAAGGCAAAGGGACAATTGCTCTCACTACTTGCACCAGTAATGTCAAGCTTCTCCATGTTGTATTTTATGTTCTTAATATATCTCATAACTTGCTGAGTGTTGGGAAACTAATAGCTAGTGGGTATTCAATGTTATTTGATGGTTCCTCTTGTACTATTAAGGAAAAAGAATAAGGACAGACTATAGTTAATATTTATATGGTAGTAAATAAGATATTTCCTTTAGCTATTTCTACCATAGAAAATCATGCTCTT